GCAATGTTGAAAGGGATGGGCTTCTGGCTCTCAACAACTCTATTGTAGGCAAAGGAGTCTCTCAGAACCCTATCAGCAGCCATGAGTTTGGCCCACCAGAACATCTGAGTCAGTTCTGAGGTTTCCTATGAGGAGCTGTCAGTCCTTTTGAGGTACACCTAAGAAATGAGCCAAATCCCAGGGCACATGAGATCCTTCTCAGAGTGGAGCCCCGTGAGAAGTTTCTTGCAGCGTCTTGTTAATAATATAGAACTCAGCTCCAGACTTGCTGAATTAGAATCTGCATTTTAACAAGATGTATGGGTGATTTGTGTGCAAATCAGATTCTCTATTTATGTTTTCAGGATCCCTAGAAGCAGACACAAGTATGAATTTTGGCTTATTGTAGGAAGTCATAGGGCAAGAAGTCTTTGTATAGAATCTTCCACTTAAATGCTTAGTGTTCCTCTTCTCTCAGCTATACTCTGAAATAATACATGAGTGCACCTACACAAGTAAGAGCACAATTTGATTTGTTGATTTGTGTTTGGATGGGGCCAGAAAGGGAGCTATAGTTTTGGAAACCAGATTTTGGGAAACTCCAAGATTTATTAGCTTTAATATCTTGCTGTGAAGACTAAAAGTTCATTTGGTGATTAAAATTTCCCTGCTCACTCAGAGGGACTTCTCTGTAAAATTTGAAATATAGTGTGTTTGGGGTATGAAAATCAGTATTCCTTTTTATCTTAAAAGTTTTCATTATTTTCTGATCTTGAAACAATGTTTGGGTTGGATATCAGAATGTACTGGTTTGGGATCACATGGGAATAGTATTCTGTTTAAGCTATTTACAACAAGCCAACAGCTAACATTAAATTAAACGGAGAAAAACTCAAAGCCATCCCACTAAAATCAGGAACACGACAAGGATGTCCACTCTCTCCATACCTCTTCAATATAGTGCTTGAAATTCTAGCAATAGCAATAAGACAACATAAGGAGATCAAGGGGATTCGTATTGGAAAGAAAGAAGTTAAGCTTTCGTTATTTGCAGATGATATGATAGTGTACATAAGCGACCCCAAAAATTCTACCAAAGAACTCCTACAGCTGATAAACAGCTTTAGTAATGTGGCAGGATACAAGATCAACTCCAAAAAATCAGTTGCCTTCCTATACACTAAGGATAAGGAAGCAGAGAGGGAAATCAGAGAAGCATCACCTTTCACGATAGCCACAAATAGCATAAAATACCTTGGGGTAACCCTGACCAAGGAAGTGAAAGATCTACTTGACAAGAACTATAAGTCTTTGAAGAAAGAAATTGAAGAAGACACCAGAAAATGGAAAGACCTCCCTTGCTCTTGGATTGGGAGGATCAACATAGTAAAAATGGCAATTCTACCAAAAGCAATCTATAGATTCAACGCAATCCCCATCAAAATCCCATCAAAATTCTTCACAGATCTGGAGAAGACAATAATCAACTTTATATGGAAAAACAAAATACCCAGGATAGCCAAAACAATCTTATACAATAAAGGATTGTCTGGAGGCATTACCATCCCTGACTTCAAACTCTATTACAGAGCTACAGTATTGAAAACAGCTTGGTATTGGCATAAAAACAGAGAAGTCGACCAATGGAATCGAATAGAAGACCCTGACATTAACCCACAAACCTATGAACACCTGATCTTCGATAAAGGAGCTAAAAGTATACAATGGAAAAACGAGAGCATCTTCAACAAATGGTGCTGGCAAAACTGGATGTCAATCTGTAGAAGAATGAAAATAGATCCATATCTATCACCATGCACAAAACTCAAATCCAAATGGATTAAAGACCTCAATATCAGTCCGAACACACTGAACCTGATAGAAGAGAAAGTGGGAAGTACTCTACAGCACATGGGCACAGGAGACCACTTCCTATGTATAACCCCAGCAGCACAGACACTAAGGGCATCATTGAATAAATGGGACTTCCTGAGGCTGAGAAGCTTCTGTAAAGCAAAGGACACTGTCACTAAGACAAAAAGACAACCCACTGACTGGGAGAAGATCTTCACCAACCCTGCAACTGACAAAGGTTTGATCTCCAAAATATATAAAGAACTCAAGAAACTAGACCGTAAAAGGCTAATCAACCCAATTATAAAATGGGGCACTGATCTGAACAGAGAATTCTCAACAGAAGAACTTCAAATGGCCAAAAGACACTTAAGGTCATGCTCAACTTCCTTAGCGATCAGGGAAATGCAAATCAAGACAACTTTAAGATACCACCTTACACCTGTCAGAATGGCTAAAATAAAAAACACCAATGATAGCCTTTGCTGGAGAGGTTGTGGAGAAAGGGGTACACTCACCCATTGCTGGTGGGAATGCAAACTTGTGCAACCACTCTGGAAAGCAGTGTTTCGGTTTCTCAGGAAATTCGGGATCAACCTACTCCTGGATCCAGCAATACCACTCTTGGGAATATACCCAAGAGAGGCCCTATCATACAACAAAAGTATATGCTCAACTATGTTCATGGCAGCATTGTTTGTAATAGCCAGAACCTGGAAACAACCTAGATGCCCTTCAACGGAAGAATGGATGAAGAAAGTATGGAATATATACATATTAGAGTATTACTCAGCAGTAAAAAACAAGGACTTCTTGAATTTTGCATACAAATGGATGGAAATAGAAAACACTATCCTGAGTGAGGTAAGCCAGACCCAAAAAGAGGAACATGGGATGTACTCACTCATATTTGGTTTCTAGCCATAAATAAAGGACATTGAGCTTATAATTCATGTTCCTAGAGAAGCTAAATAAGGTGAATCCAAAGACAAACACATAGGCATCCTCAGGAATATTAACCTTCATCAGGCGATGAAAGGAGACAGAGACAGAGACCCACACGGGAGCACCGGACAGAAATCTCAAGGTCCAAATCAGGAGCAGAAGGAGACGGAGCACGAGCAAGGAACTCAGGAACACGAGGGGTGCACCCACACACTAAGACAATGGGGATGTTCTATTGGGATCTCACCAAGGCCAGCTGGCCTAGGTCTGAAAAAGCATGGGATAAATCCGGACTAGCTGAACATAGCGGACAATGAGGAATACTGAGAACTCAAGAACAATTGCAGTGGGTTTTTGTTCCTACTGCACGTACTGGCTTTGAGGGAGCCTAGGCAGTTTGAATGCTCACCTTACGAGACCTGGATAGAGGTGGGCAGTCCTTGGGCTTCCCACAGGTCAGGGAACCCTGATTGCTCTTCGAGCAGATGAGGGAGGGGGACTTGATCGGGGGAGGGGGAGGGAAATGGGAAGCGGTTGTGGGGATGAGGCAGAAATCCTTAATAAATAAATAAATTAAAAAAAAAAAGAACTGAAGATCTTAGAGCCTTTAGCTCACAGATTCAGCTTCTGCCAAAGCTCAGCTCTGGCACTTCTGTACGAGACATAATAAACTTCCTACTGTTCTTAGACTGTAGCCCTGCCCATGTGCCACCTTCTAGGAAAGAGTTGTGCTCGTTCTTCAGGGAGCTGACTGAAGTTGAGTAAGGCTGTTTTCATATAAGTCCATCAAAATTTCTGAATGAGTGACTCCGAATTGACAGGGATTCTTTTTCATATTTAATTATATGGACACAGGTAGAGTCTCGGAATGTCACCTGCTTCTTAGTAGTGGGAAAGGCTTTGTGCCAAGATATATAGTCCTTCATCTGCAGATCCAGTAACCAAGCATTGTGTCTAGGAGGTTGCCAGAGTGCAATGCAAACTATCCCTGTATAAAAGGTTTCCGGAATAAATTAGTATATGTTTATGGATGCATTATAGACAACTTTTATGAAGCTAGGATAACAGTTAAAGAGGTTAATAGCTCTATAGCGCTGTAATAAAGATTCACAAATCTGTTTGGTTTTGTCTGAGTGCTACTGAATATGCACATTTGACAGCCATCCTTATAGCTTTTTAGAAATACACATGTCTGCTGTCACCACATTTCCTGAGACCATTGTCATATTTTATATAGTAAAATCTCAATTATTTTTGTATGATTCAGGGTAGTAAATTTGGTTATTCAAATTTTGTAATAGCGAGGGTGGTTTGAATTTATCAACTTTTTCCAATCATTAAAGTCTCCAGGTAGATACTACGGTTTAATCAGGGCAGTGAAGTTATTATTATGCAAGGTCACCCATCTCTAAACAGTGAGATTTACACATGCTGGGACTAATTAAATCTTCTCAGTTTTCTTTTCTTCATTTGAACATTTGTTTATTTGTGCGTGTGCGCCTGAATGCATATGTCATAGCACATGCCCGAGGATCAGAGGACAACTTTCTGGACTGTCCTCTTCTCTGACCATGTGGGCCCCGAAGATGGGACTGTTGTCACGCTTGCAGCAAGTGCCTTTACCTGCTGAGTCATTCACCAGTTCAAAATATGTTTATGACTCAGGAATTTTAAGATAGTTTAAATTTCAGCTAATCCTAGGTGTTATTATTAATTGTTATTATTAATTGCATGGGATGATAAGTGAACCAGAATGCTAGTTGACTCAACATCATGATTAGGCTGTGGTGACTAAGGACTCTAATTCTAGCACTGGGGAGGCTGAGGCAGTAGATTGCCAGGAGTTAGAGATCAGTTTGTACTACATACTGAGTTCCAGGCTAGTGGAGGCAATAACCTGAAACACCCATCTGGAAAAAAAGAAAAAAGAAAAAAAGAAAAGACAAGAAGAAAGAGTTATTATCACAATAAAAAAATTACTGTGAGAAAATCTTTATAGAAAAAGGAATCATTTTTAATTTTTATTTGGAGAAATTATTTTGAGAGTCTACTTATGAATTGTTTAATATTTTGAAATTTAGCAATTTCGGGTTATGTGGAGATCTTTCTGGCATTGTACTGGTGTGGAAATAATAAAAATCCTATCCTTTCCAATTAGTCATGTTCTGAGTTGGTGGCACTCTTGGCTAAGCCTTAATGACTTTACTCAAGAGGGAACTCACCCGAGGGAAGCATGATGGCCTGTGATGAGATATTCCACATTTTGTTTCTGGGGCCAGGGGACAGAGCCATACACTGAACTGTCACGTTGTTTGATTGTGCTGGTCTGTTACCATGCATCCTTGTTAAAACTGACTTTACTTCCCAAAATCCACTTCTGTCAGTCTTCTTATCATTCGTAATGTATATTCCTGCAGGACAGATGGAAGCATGATTAGTCCCTGACATTTTCTGTATCAGCCAGATGAAGATGCCGAGACATGGCATAATAAAAGTTGATTTTTCTTTGTTTTGAGATAAGGGTCTCTGTGTGTGGTTTAGACGGGCCTTTAACGCATGACTCAAGTCATCCTCCATCCCCATCTGTGTAGAGAGCCTAGAGACTGATGCTGCACCACACAGCTAGTTGCTAGTAATGTAGGCTCTCAAGCAGTTGGCATTTAGCTTTGGAGAAGCAAGGTCCAGTTCTATCAAAGCTTGGATTAACCTGTGGCAGGTGTTCCAGCCCTGTGTGGCACTGATCCATAGTTGGGCTGCACTATGCATTCGTTATATGATTTTCTTCTGACTATGGGTTCAAAGGCTTGGGTAGATTATTTCAACTCATTAGTGCCATTTAGTAATGGAGAAATTAGTGACTTGTTCTTGAATTGGTTTGAACTCTGGGGAGGCTCTTCTCTAGACTCTGGCTAGGTAATAAAAGGATATCAAAGGAATATAAAACAGCTCCGTTCTGCTTTGAGCTTCCCTAATGTGAGGAAGTGCATCTAGGTGTGGTCCTTCCAGAGAGAAGGAAGGGGGTGTTGATTGTATTAGATTTCCTCCTAACTATAAATGTAGTAGATGATGTGGATTCTAATCCTGATGCCCTACCATAGCCTTCTCCTGAAATAAGTTGTGTATTGATAAGCATTTTCAGTTCTAGTCCCATGAGTCTTCTCTAGAATCTTTTATCTGTCACTGTTAGGATAAGTTCCAAATTGCATGCATTGTGGCAATAAATTACTTAAAAAAAAATCTGTCCTCAGAGGCCAGTTCATTCTGAACTCTCACAGAGTCCTGACATTAAAGACTCTTTGTTTCCTTTGAGACCAGGGTCTGGTATATCTCTGGCTGACTTTAAACTCATTATGTAGTCAAGGATGACCTTGAACTTTTCCTTAATTTCCCAAATACAAGGATTGCAGGCCTGTGTCAACATGCCTGGCTCCCATGAAAGGTTCTTCCTGCTAATTCTGAAGCTATTAGTTAGCAAAGTACTAGTCAGCTGCTATTAGTTGTATGCTGGTGGGCTTCTGACCACATTGTCAGGCCTCTTGTGTGAGAACATACTGGGCACATCCTATCTGGATGCTTCACATAACCGGAAAATATACTTGTTGTAACCTTTAACATATACTTTCAGGATTGTGTTGTGTTATTGTAGTGAACTGCTTTTAAAGTGACCCCATTAACCAGTAACTAATCATCAAGGGATCTATAAATTCATCTACCAGCAGAAGCTGTTAATTTTAGAAATTAAAAGAAAAAATTGAGCAAGAGCTGTGTGATTCAGCTATTGTTCCATGTGTTGGAAGGGAGAGTCAGTGGAAGGCCTGCTGTCCAGGCGCAGATGCCAGAGCTTATTCTGGCAATGCTGCCATGGTTACCACCTATGAGAAACACTACTTCCTACTGAAATTGTCTGTGTGTTTCCTGCCCCAGAAACTAAATCCTCCCAGTAAACTTGTTCCTTATGAAGGAACCTTTTATATCCATCCCTCTGGCCACAACCCCAATCCTGTCCCAAATATTCACAAGAGAAAGTGAAAGTTATTATCAATTGATTTAAAGCAGTGGTGTTTTAAAAAAAATGAACACAATATGTTAAAATAACAAGGCAGAGCAGATAGTAACACTACAAAGTCAGAGATATTATTATTAACTACATGTTTATTTGAATGCTTTTGTTCTTGTAAAGAATATTTACTTCTGCTAACACCAACTGAATGGTTTGTATGAGCTGAAGAAATCAACCATATCAGTTTTATTCTGGAAATATTACCTTCTACCCCCTTGGTGGAATCAGATGAAGTATTAGAAACTGACACCTGGTAGGTAAGACGATGCTTTTTTCTTAGAGCAAGAATTAGTTTTAATGCCAAAATTAACTTGGGTACAATGCTTTCTAATGCTTGGTGTTGCCAAACACGTTCCCACAGCTTTGTTTCCTCACCTTCTTCATTGCCTTGAAGAAATCTTCCGTCTATTAACCAGGTGATGTTTGCTCTGGGGAACACCTTCTTCAGTAGGCAGGTAAATACTCTCTACAACAGACAGAAAGAGGGTCATTTTCAAACTCGGAAGAAATTCCTGCTCCTTGTGTCTCCATTCCTATGAGACACTTAACAAGAAATGATTTTGCCTACCTTTCAAAACACCGGGGTTTTCCTTTGGGGGCCTTGACAAATTTGTGGCTAGAACCCTAGGTCAGTCTAGGAATGTCAAGACTCTACTAATGTTGCAGGAGGTTTATGGGCTCTGAGCAATAGAACTAGTATTAAGTTAATACTAAGTAGAAATCAAAGAGTAGAAGGAAGAAGCCCCAGAGCCAGAGAAAAATGTGACTAGATTAAAAGGGAAATGGGATCGAGACACTATTTTTCTGTTTCCAAAACAGTGTGAAAGACCATTCATTGTGAAGGTCAGTGGAAATCATTTTAAGTAAATATATCATTTGGGGGTTTAATTTTTTTCATAACCTCCTTTGTTTTTCATCTTGATTCTCTACAGGAGACAGTGCATACTTCCTTATGGTAGGCGACAAATATGGAACACCAAGGTGTTACATGGTTAATGGAATTAGAAGCAATCAATGGTAATGCATCCCAAGAGATTTCTTGGTAAAATATTTTGGATTGAACATGGGAGGATGGGTAGCATAGTGGTCTGAATGAGAATGGCACCCACAGGCTCATATATTTGAGTGTTTGGTCTCCTCTCCAGTTAGTAGACTGGGAAGGATTAGGAGGTGTGGCCTTGTCTGATGTGGTATATTGATGGGGGTGGGCTTTGGTGTTTCAGAAGCCCACACAGGCCCAGTCTGGCTCTCTCTGCTGCCTGTGGATAAGATTTAAGTCCTCAGCCACTGCTCCAGTGTCTTGCCTAGCTGCCTCCTGCCATACTCCCTGCCAAGTTGGTCAAGGCTCACTCCCTGAAGCTGTAAATAAGCCCCGATTAAGTATATTATTTCATGTTTCCTTGTCTATTGTGTCTCTTCACAACAAGAGAATAGATGCAATTTCTGTGTTACTCTCAGTACAGTTCGCACACCACTGTACCTAATCCACGAGCTGAGCAAGGGCGTGGAGATTGAAAGAACACACAAGAGACCTGGGTCATTCAAAAGAAGATCAACTGGATGCTGCTTACTCAAGTTTAGGAAAAACCTTACATCCCTAACTGCTGCACAATGGAATCTTCCCCAGGTAGATGGGAAATTACCACACCCGAGGTGGAATAAACATGTCCTGTAGCTAATCACCAGGTGGGGGAAGAGAGAGCACAGGATAGCTGGGAAATGCAACAAAATGTCTGGCCAGAAACTGTCCTCAAGATGAACCTCAGGAGGAGTGTTAGATCTGGGCCCTACAAACAGTAATTAAGACAGGTAATCATGTTATAAAATCAAAGATAAGTTAGATCTTTTCAACACTTTCATTCTTTTGGAAAATATCATTGTGAATATATCCAAAGACGTTTATTAGTTTGCTTATCTGATACTCTATAAAACTATAATTCCATTTCTAGCTATATATTTTCTTACTACCAATATGTGAACTTTGCATATGCCTTGTCCTTGATCTTGGTAGCTAAACGTTTCCCACAACTGTTGACTCTAACAGTAGTTAACTGGTAAGGAACAGTGAACTGGCTGTAATACTGATGTGCGGATCTACCAACTAATTACCATCAAATAAGCCAAGCCTAGAAAGCTGTGAATCCAAACTCAAGGGTGCCAGAAGACATTTTTCTGGTAGACTCCTCCTGATGTGTGGTTTCCTGCCCCTAAGTGCATTGCAGTTAACTAGGGAAAAAAATAACTTCCATAATAATCCAATCTTAGGTCAAACGCTTCAGGAAATATTAAGCATGTATGGTATTGCTGAGGAATTAGTGTTGCCCTCATTTAGAGCCTGGCTTAAATGAGCAAGAAGAAAACGTTAAATCTGAAAGAAAAATGGAGTAAATATGTAGAGTAGTGTAAATGCACACAAAGATGACTTTTATGGACAGGGAAGTATGGGCCTGGACTGTATTGGTAGTGTCTGTTGGAAAGTGGCGAGGATTCAAAACTGGATAGCCAAGGTGGGCTGTTTAGCCAAGAGGAACAGATGTAAGTTAGAGATGTTGTACTGGAACCGGGAAGATGTTGGCAGATGATTATAACAAGCTGAGATTGACAAGGCAGAAAAAAAATATAGCCCTGACTGTAGGTAACTCTATATGTACATGTGTATACACATACAATATATACGGCTGCTCATTTTTTGTAGCTGGACTTATAGTTCAGAGAACTTAGCCCCACCTCCTCCACGCTGCATTTAACCACATCTCTGTGATTACTGGAAAACAGTTGGCTCTTCTTAATCATCCAAGGAGTGTTGGTCCACAATAGCACAAAATAGCACTGAGCTGAAATCCCCAGATTGTCTCCTCCAGTTCAAGACTGATGATTTAAAATTTTCACCTTCTACAAGAATGTAATGGCTTCATGACTATGCAAAACTCATAGATTGCTAACAACCCCCACACTCTGCAATATCTGCTGATTAGATGTCTGGGAAGCATCTAATCAGTTATTTCCTAAGTTAAATCCCCACTGCTGCCCCCCAGCCTAGAGCTTTAAAAATGGTATGAAACACACCAAGCTCAGATGGCCTTCCAGGATGCGGCCCATCAGCATCTTTTTGACTTTGCTGACTTACCAAATAAATCTTTTTCCTTGCTCCATTAATACTGTCTTTTGTGAGAGGTGAGTGGACAGGCTAAGGAGCAATTCCTCACCTACAGATGAAATACTGAATTATCGCTAGTTACCACAGCTGCATTGAGACAGCACCTTGCCCAATGGATTTGTTTGCTTTTTTAGAACAAGTTTGAAAGCATCAAGGTTTTAAATCTAGGAACAAAGAAAGGCACTGGTCACTGTCTTGAATCTTTGTCCCTCTATGTGTTTATGCATCTGACTTTTCCCTTCTGTGTCGCTGTCTCCCAGGATCCCAGAAGACAGTGTTGACTGGCTAAACACCGTTTCAAGCAGGAACTGAGTGTCAGTGAGCGTCACAGGATGGAATAGCCCCCAAAGAGGTTGATTCTAAAGATGGTAGGGTGCACCCTGTAAGAGGAGTCAACCAAATAATCCCTTTCACGTAACAACAGGGGTGGGACATTTCCAGACCCCCTCTTGCGAGCCAGAATTGAGCAGTCACCAGCCACAGCACACCGTGAGCAACACCGCTGCCCTCACCTTCTGCCCCAGTTCTCTCTGTGATGAAACTGAGAGCTCACGTCAGTGCGCTGAAGATGCACGTAGGGTCCTTCCCAGGGTGGCTATGTTGGTTATATCATTTATCTTTCACCAGTACCTCTCTTTAATTGGTGTGCTGGGATAGGCACTGAGCCTAGTCTGTTGGGACTCCCAGGGTTGGTGCTTTTTTTATCCTAAAACTCCAGTAACAGAAAGATAATTTAAAAAACCAAACCTTGCCCAACTTTCCAAAGCAATACTTGATCTCACTTGGATCTTTCCTCTGCTCACGCCACCTGGCTTAGAAACGCAACTCTTAGCCTCTCTATCATCTGCACTGTGACATTTCTCTCTTTTCTTCTATCCTGTAAATGTCTCTTCCTGTGGACATTGACTTTAAAAATGTTCCTGTCTCCTCGTGGTAGGCTTTGCTTCCCTGATTTAAATACAAATGTGAGTATATATTTCCCGTAAGTGGTGATTATCTTTCTGAGAAGATAAGCCAAGAGCATTTCGGTTTTCCCAACTCTAGTTACATAATGTAATAAAAGCACTGCGAAATTCATATCTTAATTTACCAGCATTCTTTGTATTTTCAGTTTTCTTTCACTTAATATTCTCCTTTCTGTGAGATCTTTGGCTTTTCTGCTGGCCACATTCACAACAGCCATGGATTTTTAGCTAAGTATAAAACTTGATGATCTGACAGTTTGGAAAATACTTCAAGTCACAGAGGTCTTTGCATTCGGAGGAGTCTGTATTCCATCTTCTCCACTTTTTCTTACACTGTTCTCTGCTTGAGAAGCTGGATACCCACGCAGGATGCAAGCCTACTAAGTCACCTACAGGTACTCCATACCGGCACACAAAGACCTCCTGGAAGAGGGAGGGGCTCAATCCAGAAGTGTCCTCCTCCTGGGATCAGGGATGAGCTAATCATCAGCCTAGGCGTGCAGGTGTATGCTCATGGAGCAACAGAGAGATCAGAAACAAGTCCAGAGCTTCCCCTGCCTCTAAGTGCTTGCTAGGGCTGGGTGGCGAGGGAATGAGAGCAGAATTTCCCGACCATTCTGGGCTGCAAGCTGGATGAATACATTTCCTATTTATGTACAAAATGATCCAAGAAAGGACGGAGAAATCAGACTGTTGTTAGGGGACAATATGGTTTCCTACTTACCTATCTGTATTTGAAATTGGGCAAAGAAGTAAAACACCTGCTGTCAGGTGCCTGGGGAACATTCAGTTGGCTGTTGGCTTTGCAGGCCATTGTGCCAGGAAAGGTGGGATACAGTAAGTTGCTGGCAGGAGACAACTAGGCAGGCCCAATCTGTGAAGACTTGCCCGTGTCCTTCTCCTCCTGGCATGCCAGACCCTCCTGCTTAAAACAGCTAAGTTTGTTCTTGAGGTTCCTTAGAATCCCCAAGGCAGAGGGACCTCTGTGGGTCAAACATGCTGGGAACATTTGGCATTTCAGCCTCTAGACCACAACACACTGCAGAAACTCCTCCCTCCCACACCACCTGCCGTGTTCACTTCATCCTTGTGGCCCTATTGTGAGCCTCCTGAACTGCTCCAGAGCTGGCGTTGTTGTCCTTCTTACCACTGAGAAGCAGCCAGCTGTTAAGCTGCATGGAGGCAGAAAGCTGTTAAGAGGGGGAGTGAAGGAGGAAACCTGGGTGTTTGAATATGTAAGAGTGGGTGGCGCGGGAACACTGGGTCCGCCTGAGAGAGCTGGATTTGCTAGGCAGGGGATGTCTCTGTTTCTGAACATCTGTTTGTTGAGGGGAGAGCTGTGAA